TATATATTATATATAATATATATATTATATATAATATATATATTATATATAATATTATATATATATTATATATTATATATATATATATATATATATATATATATATATATATATATATATATATATATATATATATGTAGACACACACACACACATATATATATTATATATAATATATATATATATATTATTTATATATACACAACAGATTATTATAAATATTTTCCTAAAGTCGTCTACGTGACCTACTTTTGTCCCAAAATCTAATTTCATTTTGTATTGCTGATTGAATTGATGGTTTTTTTAAAGTTCTTATTCTCAGGTTTAAAAATGACTGCTGGATTTTTTGTTATAGCAATTTCTTTAAGGAGTTTAGATTCTATATCAAGAACAGACTCAGAATTTGTTGAATTGACCTCTGGAGAAATTTCATTATTAAGGCGTCAGGCTAGGGTTAGAATAAAGTTATTTATTTCCATTACTGTTTCTCATTCCATTTCATATAAAAGTATTGATATCATTTATAAAAATTGATATCAATTAGTGCTTTCTTTAATGAAGATTTTATATTGTATATTGTTTATGTTTAAGCATTTGCACATAAACAACATGCTTCATCTATTTTTCGAATCTAACACAAGGTTGAACTCTTTTCTACTTGCTTTTCAAAGGCAAATGGGAAAATACTTTATCAACTTTTCACACGTTAGTGATCAATGCTCGTAGTTGGAAATTTTCAGTAGTTTTTATAACATCAGTTTTATATGATGAAAATGGAATGTTTACCCACATTCCATTTTCATCATCTTCGTCATCAGTAAGATTTTTTTCATTGGATTCAAGTTTCACTTTTACTAATATTTCTCTTCCTCTACTTCAGTTTGCTTTTTTTTCGCTATTAAATTGCATGGGAAAAACATTAATTTGGTCACAAGCTAGCAATCTACCCATTTTTTGCATCGTTGTGAGTATTTAATTGCCAAGTTTTAAGCTTCTTTTCCAACAACTTTACACAACCTTTAGCCGCAAATTGGCCATTGATACGAGACAGCCCCAAAACTCCAAACATCATCTCCTGATCTATGTACGTTATTATTCATAAAACTCCAGTTACGAGAAAAGGTCCGCTCATCAAGTGACACTGAAAAATACCTTTTAGTTAATAATTATTTCTGCAATTATTGACTGGCAAAGTCCATTACAACCTTCTGTATACTGGTGGGAGATTTAGGAACATCAAATTTGTGCATTATTAAACATTTTCTTAAATCCTCTGAAGTACAAAAAATGGTAATCCATCTGAGGCGAACTGATATTACTGCGAAGATCTGCGATATCTGAGGCGAACATTCTAGATATTACTGCAACAAAACTTTTGAATTATAAAAATCTTTTAAAGTTTTGCTTTTTCTATTTAAATTAACTCCCACTGACAACGCTTGAATCATTATCAATTTTTTGCTTGTTGTGCTTTGCTTGTAAATGGGTATGCTTTTTTGTTGTACATCCACCCAATATCTTTAAAATCTGTTTACATTGTATACACTTTGCCACTTGGATTTTATCCCTCGTAAAAATTAGTTCCACTTCAAATTTGATAACTTTTCTTTAAATACATCTACAAAAATTTCTTCTTGCTGATCCGACATCCTAGAGATTAAAATTGAGTATATACAATAAATATAAGCAGCATTAAAACCGATAAAACTTACCTAATATGCTTTGAACTGGGCTTATATAATAAATGTTATATAATATATATTATTAAAACTAATGTAAACTCATGCAACCTGCTTGTTCACATTTCACAATAAAAATCATTCGCTGTTGTTTTAATAAAAACAAATGTGTTACTTTAAAAACAAATTTGCTTTTCGCAAGGTCTGGTTATTTAAAAAAATTACTTTAATCGTGGATGAACAAGGCGTGTGATCGCACGAGCTTCCCGGGAAGGCTTGACAAGTGTTTTCTTTGGTTTTTTACTCTAGCTATCCATTTATTCATTAAAAAATTAATTCATTCAATGGAAAAATTAATAAACAAAAAGCTAAATAAGTTTTTACAGAATTATTACAAAAACAAAAAAGATTCTACGATAAAAGTGTTTATATAATTACTATTTTTTTTTAGTAGAGCATTTAATTATGCATTATGTTTTTTTATTAATTAATTTAGTTGTTTCAAAATTATTAATAAATTTTATTAGTGTATATAAACTTCATTTTTTGAACTTTTTATTTTTTATACAAAACAGAAAATGATGCTACGTTAATAATATACATTTTTTTTTTTTTTGAGCTAATTTATTTTTAAAAAGTCAACTAAGCATTAAATTTTTTTTTGAATTAAGCAACCCGGTTTTTATCATTTATATTAAAATTTTGCAATTAATTAATAATTCAAATTTATATTTCAGTGTTTGTTTTATTTTTTGTATGATGGTTTTTATAAATTTCAAACAAATATTTTAGCTTTTAAAAACCTTTTTAAATTTATTTTATAAAAAATTTAACGTAATAGTTTTTTGAATGGTTATAGAAACCAGTATTTTTTATTACACTAATAAATTTGAGTTTTGTTATGTAACGTTTGCTTTCGCACTAAAGTTTTTCGCTTTTAAATATGTTTAAAAAGTGTTAATAAAAGTAATAATAGAAAGTTTAAAAAAAAATAAAACAAAAAATTTGCATAAATGCATTTTAATAAAAATTTAACATTTTACAAGTTACAAATTATCATAAGTTACAAATTATCAACAAATCTACATTAAATATTATGCATTAAATATTATAATAATTTATAATGAAATCATGATCATTAACATATTTTTTACTTAAAGTATCTTCTTAATGATTATCTTCTTATAATTTAACATGTTTGTTCCTTAACCTTTTTTTTTTGAACGTATCCTCTTTTAGCTTAATTTATCTTCTTTTAATCGATCTGCCAAAGTAATTAAGTAAAATATTCTTTGATAATTTAAATAAAATGGTTTTTTTTTTTATTTGTAACAATCATTAAAATTAATTTGTTACTTTATTTAATAACTAGCAGTAAGTAACCCGTAATACGCGTTGTTAGTAAATAAAATTGAAAAAAAAACCGTGTATAGAAAAGCCTAGAAACTACTTTAAAATAGAAAAGCCTAGAAAATGACATAATTCGACTAATAATATTAAATTAGCGTATTAATATTATCAGAAGTAATAAAAAAACATAATTATTTATATACATATTTAATATAATTATAATAATTTACAAAGCATTTCGTATAGTATAGCATTTTTTTTAAAACGCACTATAAATATATTTGTCTTTTCCAATTTTAGTTTTTTGAGTTTAGATTTTTTCTTTTTCTTTAAGATTATCTTTCTTTATATAAATTATCTTTAAAATTTTCTTTTTATTTTCAGCACATCTTTGAAATGCCTTAAGTTGTCATAACAAACTGCCATTGTCGAGTTCAAAAAATATTTTAAGTGTGGTCAGGAATAAAGTTCGATCAGTCATAAGAATAAATGTTACTTGTGATTATACAACTTTTTTGTATCGTTAATACATAACAATAAGTTGAAATTTATAATACAAACCAACAAGTTGAGATTTGTAATAATTCAAAACTAATAGTGGTAACACTGCGCTGCAGCGACAACGTTTTTGTTTTGATGTCCTTAAAATACAACTTTGCCGCCAAGTTATTTTAACAGTTTATTATATGATTTTTATTTTATTGTTTTAATTTTTATAGATAGTTTATGCTTTTGTTTAATTCTGCATTTTAACTTTTTACAAAGCCTCAACACACCACAGCATATTTAAATATATAAAGTTTTTAAATTGTAGTTTTACTTAGCAGTTTTAAAAGTATTTCATATTATTCTGAAAATGCTATTCAGTTGTTTTTATTTTAAAAATAAATATGTATATATATATATATATGTATATATATATATATATATATATACATATATATATATATATATATATATATATATATATATATATATATATATATATATATATATATATATATATATATATATATATATGTATATATATATATATATATATATATATATATATATATATATATATATATATATATATATATATATATATATATATATATATATATATATATATATATATATATATATATATATATATATATATATATATATACTTTTAATGTATAAACAAATCTTGGTACTTCTAATGCACAATGAACATAAACAAAAATTTTCTAGAATCTTAATTATTGAAATTTTTATCAAAAGAACAAATTATTTCTGAAAAAATTTTGCACATTTAAAAAATCCTGATTAATCATTAAAAACTATTTTCATCAAAAAAATTTTCCAAAACAAGTCATTCAACTGTTTTTCAGGTTCTCAAATGTTATAAGAAATCTTTATCTATCAATTGCTAGGAAAATAAGATCTGGAAAAAAATATGGAAATTACAAAAAATGTAAGCCATTTGTAACTTTAAAGATGATGAATGCTGGTCTATCCACGAAGAATCACCCGAAAAAGCATCTTCAGCTTTTTATACAGTCATACTTTTTTCTCAATTTTTTTAATTTTTTCAACGTTCATGTTAAGTTTTGGTTATTTTTGACTTATCTAGCTGTCACTATGCTGAACCTACTGAATTGGTTACAGATTAAATGACATGTAATTATACCTAAAGATTATAATCAATCTTATATTGTCTATAAATTCATCTCTTAGAGATAATTTAGGTAATTTGTAATTATAAATTAAATAAACCTCAAGGTAAGTCTGAGCTGCTCAATAAGTTGAGAAATACTTGTAATAAAGTTCTTGATAGCGCTGTGCAAAACACAAAAGCTAAAAGTTTGAGTGTTGTATATATTTATTGCTTTTGTATGCCCGAAGGAAAAAAAGTAATTTTTTTTTAATTTAAAGCTCTCAAGTTTTTAATGTGTTTAACATATAAAATCTTATTTACTAATAATTAAAAAAATTACTTATTAGATGGAAAGGTGAAAATGTATCAACAAACGAGGTGGAAGGAATAATGACAAATCTTCTGAATATGACTGAAGTTTGCGTTTATGGAGTAGAAATTCCAGGAAATGATGGTAAAGCTGGTATGGCAATTATAAATGATCCCAATCGCAAGGTAAACTCTTTTTTTTAAAGTTAATTGCTCTTCATGTAAAACATGTTTAAAAAAATATTAACTTTCTGTAATATTTATGTTGAACTTGACATGCTCAAATATTTTTTATACCAGAACTCTAACCACTCTGCCATGGCACATTGGTTAGAGTTTTGGCTTAAAACCAAGAGGTCCAAGGTTCAACAAATTTTTATTCAGACATTGATTGAGTCTTGCTTTTTGTTTCAGACATTGATTAAATCTTGCTCAATATGTTTTTGTTTTAATTTACTAATTTTTTCCAGGGTATGCTTTAATGTTTTAAAGTAAATTTTTAGGTACATATAAGTTTCTGGTTTGTTGTTAGACACAAGATTATCAAAAACTTAATCTGCAAGGCATCTCCAAAAATAATATAGTTGGTCTTCCTCTTTCTGCTTTTTCTGAATTGGATGGCTAAGGGTCGCATTTAAGCTCTATTGGAAGCTTGTATTCAATTTCTCAATAAAGCTTCCATGGTAGTTCATGAAACTTGCAGAAGAATTACCCTGTTTTCTCCTAAGTTTATTGTATCACTTTTTGAAATTTTCTATTTTCTGTATTATTACTTGTTTTTCCATTAAGTCTCTTTTAAGTTTTTCAACACAAGCTTTGTTTGATAATTAAAATGATTTCAATGTACATAATAATCATTTTCTAAATGCATAACCAACTCTCGGAATCAGTCTAAACGCATAACCAACTCTGGGAATCTCCTCTTTGTATCTTTTTTTTTTTTTTTTTTTTGCTTACCTCCAACAGTTTGAGGTCAGCAATAAACTGCCGACCTCATTTTTTCTAATTCCAATGGTTGCATAACATAATTCCTTGTTTTATTTACTTCTTTTTTATTAAATTTTTTTCTTTTGAATTGCATTGGTTATTAATAAGAATGCCATGTGTCATTTTTTTTTTAGAAACTTTTTATTTTTATATTGTATTTCTTTTTTTTTTTTTAAGGAAAAAAAAAATACAATATAAAATTTTGAAACTGAAAAAATAATAAATCATCAGTACAGCACAGACTAAGTTTTTATCTTGCTTGATTAGCCTAAGGTTTCATTATATATTGTATGTTAGATTTCCACTGGTGATCAACATTGCATGTTAGACTTTCACTGGCGATCAACATTGCATGTTAGATTTCCACTGATCAACAGCAAAATTTTGTCTCTAGCTTTTAAGTTATTAACAACCAAAAACACTTTAACCTGTTAACAGTCCATGCCGTAATATTACACAAACTAAAAGTGTTTTTTAAATGTCCATGCTGTAATATTACGGTTTTGTGCATCTCTTTATATTTCCTTCTTGTTCATCAGTAATTAAACGTCTACTTGTTGCAAAAGTTATTACTAGATAATTACAAAGCTTTTGTTTCGATAATTGTCTTTGAAATGTGTTCAATTTAATTTTAGATATAATAAATAAGGAATTTATATCAGTGCAAAAATAATTATCAAAAAGTAAACATTTACTCAAGAAAAGATAGAATTTTATACATTTGATGAATCAATAATCAAAAGATATATTTAATGAATGATTATTGAAAGGGATAATAAAAGATTCATGCTCGAAGATGGTGTGCGGTATGTTACAAACACAATATTCAAAAAGGTTCAGGATGCGAATTTGTAGAATGTGATGTAGGACTTTTCGCAGCTTCTTGCTTTTTACAATAATCATACAAAAAGTGAATATTAGTGAATACATTTTTAAAATTTTATGTTTATGTAGTATGATTTATATATTCTTAAACTTGAATAATAACATTTTGTAGTGTTTAATAATGTTAAAAATAGTAAAAAAGATTTTTATTCTATTTGTAAAAAAACATGAATTTAAAAATACGGGACATTTAAAGACCACTTAAAAAAAAGAAGCTGGACTAATCGCAACCGTTTTTAAAAAAACTGTTGCGGACTGTTAAAGGGTTAAATACATTTTTATTGAAATCAATAAATAATTTTATTATAAATTTTTGCATAAATTTTTTCATTATCTTTATACAGATAGATTAGTTTATAACAGCAGTTATAAAGTAATTTGAAAAAGTTCAAATTTAAAATTTTTTACAAAAATTTCTGTTGTACTCCAAATAAAATAATTTCAAAATCCAAGGTTTAGATGCAGCTACAAATAAGTTATCATAAAATTATAAGTTTGAAAAAGCAAAAAAAAAATTATTTATTTTTTTGCCGTTTTTTCTTTTGATAGGTCCCATTGTGCAATTCAAAATCAATATATTTTAATTTGTTTAGTAAATGTTAACTTAACTGAAGTGTTATAGTATACAAAAAACACTTAATGTTTAATATTTGCATTATTAGTGATGAAGTGCATTGCACTGAAAATGATTCAAATCTATGGCAAAAGACCAAGGGGAAATTTGTCTGGATCTGGGGAAGCTCTAAGCATTGTCCAATAACATCCTCCCCCCCCCTCCTTCCTCTTGTTTCATGTAACTAATCAAACAGTTGAAATTACAAGACAGTTCAATTGTGAACAAAAATTTGTGTGTGCATATATTTTATCTATATTATATACAAATGTTTTTGAGTGTCTGAGTATGGAAAATCAAGCTTTAAGTAAATTAATTTTTTTATTTTTTTTTAAATAAACAGAACTTTTCTAGTCAAAGTTTGTGTGTTTAGATTTTTAGTGTTGATGTATTAATCGGATTATTGAATAGCAAGTGTGTACTTACTAATTATTTACTGAGTGATTTGTGTTTTATTTCGTTATAAGTATTTTATAAATCCAAAACAAACTAGAAATTAGTAACATTTCAGCATAAAAGTAAATTTTAAAAATTTTTTATTTATAAAATTTTTTTTTTGTCTTTGACAGAAATTATCGATTAGAGAGTCCGTATCAAGAAGTTTTATTAAACCCTCATTGCTAGATAAACTTGATAAATTTTTAAAAGTTTCTTGATTCATATTTGATCTAAACTTTTGATCAATTTAAGTTTTGAAAAAACTTTTTTTACCGGAACAACTTGTCATAATAAAGCATAAAAAGATTCTCAAAACCGTTTCAAGATTTGGAAATGCCATTTCTAAATTTTTTTTCTTTTATCAGCTTATAAATGAATAAGTGAGTCATAGCTGTTTCTTGGTATTTAGTTTTGATAAAGTTATGAAATTGCAAAATTTCACGAAACAAAAATATATAAATATCTTCATGATATTGTTCAACGATTTTTCTTTAGATTTGCATTATCTATGTTCACATTAATCAAATATTCAAAAATTGTGTTCGATTCTTGATACACAATCATCCTTTATTCAAATTGAGTGAACTGCATTGACGACTTTGTTAAAAACATCTTTCTGAAAACTTTGATTTGGACTTATTATAACACACATTTTCCTGGCGAGTAAAGCAATCATTCACGATCGTGTTGCTCTTTGGCATTTGAAAAGAGATTTTTAACAAAAGGGATCGTGGTCCTTTTAAAACTGCTTTGATTCATGGAAATCATTGTCAAATTATCAAAGTTTTAAGTAGTTTTTGGTCCTTTTGAAATCTAAAACAAAACATCGTCTTCAGAACGATGTTACCATAAGCCAATGTCATCTTCAGAACGATGTTACCATAAGCCAATGTCATCTTTTCTGTTGATGTTTAAGTTACAGCTATCAGTGATTAATTCAGGAGAACGTGTGACTTCTTACAATTGATGATCATTTTCTGAAACTAATTGTTCTGTTTCATGAGAGCAATTTTCCCGATTAAGACAGGCTTGTTTAAGAAAGGCGCATGATCGTACTCTGTTCTTGACTACCTAGTCAAATACCACAACTACGCATATATGCGTAGTTGTGGCAACTAGTATTATATATAATATTTAGTTGCCACAACTTGACCACAGTTTGTTTGGATGTTTGAGAGCATTCAAGTTTATGTATGTTTCCGTCTATGTCCGCATAATAATCAGAAATAATTTGAACACGATATAATACCACGGAACGTGGTGAGGTTGAAGCTCGGAACTTCTCGCTGACAAATCGAGCGTTTTGTTAGCAAAATAAGAAGGAACCTTATTCTATTTCTCTATCTGAAAATTTTATATAATAATCATTTTATCTATTTTAATTATTGTAATTATATATTTTTATTATTTTTTTAGGTTAACATTGATAGTCTACCACAGCAGCTTGGATATAGTCTTCCTGAGTACGCTCGTCCAGTTTTTATTCGACTCTCTCATCAGATTCCGAAGACTACTACGTTTAAGTTTCAAAAGGAGCCATTAAGAGATGCAGGTTTTAATCCAAGTAAATGCTATGAAACAGATAGTTTGTTTTATTTTAGTAGCAAAGATAAAAAGTATATTCCACTTGACATGAAAGTTTATCAAAATATACTTGATATGAACATTAGGTTTTAGCATTTCGATTTTCTAGTAAACAATTTAGATGTGGTTGTATTTTATATGCTACAAGGATAACTTTTTTTAAATAATACTTTCAAAACAATAGATAATGTTTTTCAAATTTGCCGCCAACGATGAACTTACAACGAACAACGAATTATAATAACGCCTAATTCGAGTCGATACAAAAAAAGTTTTAAAAACTCTTAATTCGATTCAATACAAATAGAATTTTAATAACGCTTTATTTCTATACAAGATTCTATACAAAAAGAATTTTTTAACCTTATTTAAGCCATTTACAGTTTTAGTTTTTTTATTATATTTATTTGATTTCTATTTCGTTTGTAAGCATTTTTTTTTTATTGTTTTTTACTTTGTTTTTTGCTTTAGTATTTTTTATTTAAATATTTTGGTATTAAATACATTTTGAAAAAATTCATTTTTTTTATTGTTTGTTACCAAATTTTGATGAATATATTGTTTGTATTTTTAACAGTGCGTTGTTAAGTGTATAACAACAGTTCATCATTTATCTGCAATTTTTTAATAATCCAAGAATGAGAGTGCAAGAAAAAATAGTTTGTTAATTGATTTTTTATTTTTCTGTTATGCTTCCCGAGTTGCTTAAAATGTATGTGTAAATAGGAAAGAACCTCGACGAGGTTTATGTGCTTTAACCTCATTCATTCTGGATCGTGATTGTCTATTTTATACTGGGTTGCGCACTTAAAGCGCAAAGACTAAATCTTTTGAACTACAAACCGATTGAATCGAAATCATGAACACTTTTAAAACCAAAAATTAAATTATTGCAGCATAAAAGTGTTTAAATTTAGGATTTTTTCACGGCTACATAGACATAAAATACAAAAGTTAAAATGTTAGTTTCTGTTGTAGTAATAGGTTGATGTCTACAATATGTAGGATACTGTCGCGTTCTTGAACTAAAAAGAATAAATCTTCTAAACAAACTGATTACACCTGAAATTTTCACACTCATAAAGCAATTCAAATCATTCTGGTCTATAAATTTGACAATTAGCGATTTTTACTAAATAATCACAGACACGACATTTAATGGTACTAGTTGTAACCGCAAATGGTAAAGTTACAAATTATTTATGGAATTGTATGTGGGTATAATTTGATTACTCAAAAGTATTATCAATAAAGTTTGATTTTCTTTAGTATTGTATATCTTTATATAACTTTGAATTCAGTCAGAATTTAACATTGAGTTTTTAGTCAGTTTTGAAGTCTGTTGTTATCGCTGTTGCTGTAGTTATCTATGATTTTGTTGTTGCTATCGCTGGCTCAGAAATCATTATATACCATTTCTCTGTCAATATTGAAATTAAAACGGAATTATTTCAGATAGTTATTGTGTTGATAAATAAGATTATTTTAATCGACCCGCTTCAATAATGGCAATAAGTCAAAGGCTGTCAAATTGCATATCTAGAACTGCTGAAATAACATGGTGAATGTACACATTTATATACAGCAAATATATGTACTTGATTTCTCATAGAATTTAGCAAAACTTTGATTATGAGTATTATTGTAAGTATTTTTTTTTTAATACTAAGTTTTTTTTACTATTTAATATTGAAACAATATCTTACTGACAGATTTGAGCTTATCACGCACCTTATACTGTAGGTTTGGAAGCATCATCTTTAATTGTGTTTAGTAATACCAATAGTAATATATTTAATTAAGTCTTTTTAGATTACATGACAGATAACTAAACAAAAACGAAACCAATAAAATAACTAAAAATTTAAAATGGTTTGTAAAATTATAAACTCTAAAGAAAGCACTCATTATTTAATTGCAAATCAGTTTATATCAAAAATGAGAAAATTATAAAAATGCTTTCATTTAATTAAAGATTTTAACAAAGAATCTTCAAAAAGTTATTTCAATCATTGATGATAGGATTTGTATAGAAATTATGACGAGCATTATTATATGTAAATTAGTGCTCAAAATCTTTGGATGATGATCTGTGAATTGGAAGATTACTTCAATTGATAATCTCAAAACCGTTTTGTAATTTGAACTGTTTAGTTAAGTTGTCAAGTCCCATGCGAATTTCCAAAGTAATAAAATCGAGACTCCGACACCTCATTATATTTAATCATGAGGTACTTTAGTTGCATTGTAACAAAATTTTGAGAGATTTTTTTAAAGTGTTTCTTTGTTTTTTTAGATAAAATTTTTTGTTTATTATTGCACAAATCTCGTTTAAAATATTTTTACTTTATTTTATACAAGATTTATGATAAAGATATACTTATGTATCAAAATTTGAGCAAAAAATTAATAATGCCCTATAAATTAATGAGCTTAATTTATCTTATACTTATTCATTTTCAACTGATATAATTTTTCTAATTTATTATTATTCAAGTTAAACAGCATACTTATAAAGCACGGCCATCCATGATAGCCGTGCTTTATTAGTATGCTATTTAACTTGAGTAACTGGCATTTCTTTTAAAATAATCAAGTTATCTTTTTTTTTTCAATTTTTCTACTCTTCCTAATTCGAAAAAAAACAAGTGACTATAAACTAATGATTAAGGATTTTATCAGATGTTTTTGATAATTGGAATGCATTTTAATATACGCCTAATCTAAGATGCGTATGTAACTTATGGTGTAATGGTGTAATTTATTTCGCCGTTAAAGAATGTTTACATTGCATATACATATATCAAAATTAATGGCAGGAGCAAGAAGAAGGCACAGTTTGTCTTATTGCCGAGCCCTACATATAAAAAAAAAAAAAACTCTACATAAAAAAGCTCTACATAACCGTAACATACAAATATATATAATACAAATATATAAAATATAGATCAGAATTAAAACAGAAAATAACTGAGACAATTAAGAAATTCAAAATAGCAAATAATTAAGAATTGTTAAAATGCTAACAACCGCTCAAATATTTTAAAATCATTTAAACAAAAAGTTTTAAATAAAAAAATAAAATTTCATAATTAACATTATCACAAGATGAATTTTTAACATCATTACTTATACATTGATACAAATAAATTTATATACATTGATACAAATAAATTTGTTTTATTTGATTAAACTTTAAAATAAACATTTGAAGTCAGATAAATTAAGATCCCTGAATAGTAATAATTGTTTTGATTCATTTTTAAATTGCTCGCGATATTCAATTGAATTGGAGGTTAATTTTAAATTATACTTGAGAAGAACAAAGTTGTTATCAGATTACTTTGTTGAATATTTATGATTAATTTTATTAAAATAGGTTTGAAAAATTATTGGGGACAATCCCATTTTATAAATGCTGTTGCCTAAGACACCAGGTTCGGTATCTGAGGTATCAGCAAAGCATTGGTTTAGGCACTTGTAATTGTGGCCTAACGAAGCGAGAATGATCCAGATCTGGAAAAACCACGGAATAAGATTTAGAAGCAATTAACCAAAATTGATCTCAAATAACTACGCGTTGCTTAGCAAGCAAACTGTTATATTTTTTCTTTATTCATTGTTATCTGAATTACGCAATCATAGCTTGGTGTAGCACAAATCAAAACAAAATTAAAAAACTCTTTAATAAGCAAAAACATGCTATCAGAATATTATCTAATGTAGACCGTTTTACACACTCCAAAAAACTATTTACTTAAATTCAACCTAAAAGTTTTTTTGCAGCAACGGAGTTTTTAATAGCTATTAGAGGGCCAAAATTCTGGAATAAATTTATATCTAATAAACTTAAAACTCATGAAACTGTCAACGAATTCAAAGCAAAATTGAAACAAATGCTTTCGGTTAGTGACGGAGTGCATGACTTCTTCTAAAGTTATCTGGTAGTACAGATAAGCTTTTTCAATTTATTTTGAAGTTTTACCAACCTATTGTCACTTTGGGGGAATCATAACCTATATATTTAAATATATATATATATATATATATATATATATATATATATATATATATATATATATATATATATATATATATATATATATATATATATATATTTTTTTTATTAAGGAGAGATTCAGATCCTTATCGACTTTACTTTTGATTAATAATATTAATTAGTATTTAATCTTAATTAATTAACATCTTTTTATTTATTCTTATCTTAAAAGAGTTAACCCAACATTTTATTTTTTCTAGTTAGTAACTTTTTTTTGATTAATTTCAAAAGAATAGTATAAAATTTTTCACAAGTTACATGTTGCAAAATTTTATTTTTTATGTATTTATTGCTCTTTATATATATATATATATATATATATATATATATATATATATATATATATATATATATATATATATATATATATATATATATATATATATATATATATATATATATTTCTACTATATATATATATTATATATATTTCTACTATTTTTTTATATTTATTAACAGAAAATCTTATTTCTTATATACTGGTAACAATTATATATATGCTGTAAGTAATAATTTTTATAAAATTATATATTTTTACAAGTGGAAATCTGCATGAACTTTTTCTACTTTTGTATTACATATTTAACTGGCTCAACCATACTATTACTGGAGATGATAAGTATGTTTGCTAAATAAAAAAATATCACTAATCAAAAATGTATACTTTGAATAGCACCTCTTTTTGATTTTAAAAAACTTTATAATCGAATTGATAGATTCAACGTTAAGAATTTTTACAGATTTATGTATTATGGACTTAAGTTACTTTATTTAAAGTAATTGTTTATGAATAAGTTTATATCAAATTAGGTTTCTGTAAATTTGTGTTTGTAAATATAGTTGAAAATAAATTTATAGCTAAAAATAAACTCTTAATGTATCAATCAGAAAATAAACTAATGATGTTTCAATCAAAGGGCATCATTGAAATTCTTTAAATTTTTAAATTTAATCAGCAATAATCTATCAAAAACTTTGCATACAAAAGAGAACCAACATCGGCACTTACAAGTTTGTTAACACTCTGGGCAAGTTTAATAAAATCGGTAAGGAACTTCCTTTCAAATGCTCTTTCGCGGCGCTCTGTGATAAGACCGTAAGGACTTCTAGAGGCAACTAAATAATTAAAAAAAAAAAACAGTTTCCATCAGACTTAAGTTTTTAGACTTATCAGAGTATACAAACAGGTGATGATATAAAACTGTTTTTTGACTTAAAGAATGCTTTCGATAATCTATTAATGAACTAGAAATACCATGTAAAAGAAAAAGACCAAATTTACGGTATATTTTCAATTACATGTAGGGTAACGGATATAGTGACAAAAATGACAACGCACACCACCCCACAACTGTAGAAAAATGTTTTCGACAACAATTTTAAAAAGATTTAGGCTATGGTGATATAGTGAAAAATATACCTTTGTCGATTAGACTTATCTCTGGTCAATTGAACCCATAGTTTCAATGGACCAGCAAGCATTTCTAAAAATAGAACAGTTTCTACTTAATGTAATTGACCAAAAAAAAATTTAAATAAATGTATTACAGACAATTTGATTTTTTAACATCAGGAATGAATTTGCTTTCAAATATATGG